TTTTTTTTTTTTTTGATGCCTTGATGGCCAGCATACATGTATGTGTTAGAGTTATGGCTCAGTCAATCCCAAGTGTGCCCATACCCTTTCCCCCCACCCCGCCGGGCATTTGTCTGACATATGTCATTTTGTTTTGGAAAAGCTGCAAATGCCCCATGGTGGGGCCTAAAAATAGGGTGCAAATGCCCTACCTCAGAACAACCCCAAAATTGCATTTTCCAGTAAAGAAGCTACAAATACCATATTTATGGGAAACCTATAATAATCTGATCAAACTCGCACATGAAGCACCCTACACAATTCGCTTTTAGCTGCTAGTTATAACTATTGCAAAAAAGATCACATTGATGTGACTAATCTCAATGAGAGAACTATTAGAATTTCAATAATACATGCACCTTTCTTATTTTCAAAGATGTTTAACCTCTGCGCATATGACATCGTGGACAAAAAAATTCCTCTTACATGAAGGGAATCACTCTCAAGGCAGCTTTTAGCCTCATTTTCATGTTTGACCTGTTGTTTTCGAGTCTTCTGAATTTTTTCCACGTAGTTGTCTTCGATAAAATGTATATCCAGGGTTGTCAGAAAGTTTTGAAGTAGACGGCTGAGTTGTCAAAGTAAGCGGCCAGTCCAGGGATATTTTATTTAAAAAACGCCAAGCAGAGTAGCCGGCCAATTCTAACCAATTAGGCAGCAATTTTCGCCAGCAGCTGGCCACCTTTGACAACCCTGATATCTCTTGAATTTGCCAGTTTGTCTTCGAGGTTTCAATTTAAATACCCAGAAGGGTATTTAAAAATGGCATTTTGGTACATCAGCCTTTACATTTCATCCTATAATTGAGTCATTTTTTGCTTAAAAGATGCATAACTTAACAACATGCCCAGGAGACGAACAAGATCTTACACTCTGGGAGAAGTCACCAGGATTGTCATAGATGTTCCTGATAGTGATATCTCTGACTTTGAGGGCGAAGATGGAGGTGATGCGCGTGACATGCTTGAGCCTAGCTTGGACTCTGGTGATTCAGACAATTAGCTTTCAAATGGTATATTACAAGCCATATTTAGTTTCAGTCTTGGATTTAGATGAATTTTTTTAAAAAGTGACCTCAAAATTGCTATATTTACTCAGTGAGTTTTGTCAGATTAAGGGTTGATATGGTGAATGATTAACAAACAACCCACACACTTTACAGGGGTATTTTCTCATCACGATGAAACTGTTGAATTGTCACATTGATTGCACAATACATGAAGTTTTTATTTGCTTTCAAATATCTCGCAGTATTTTACCAGGCCTTTCTGCCTCAACAATTCATGCTCAAAGACAGTGGCTTTTCCTTTAAACTCTTCAAATGATACATTGATTGTTTTTCCTTCATGTGCAAGCTGATCACAATGGTGGGAAGCAATTTCTTACACAGATGCAAAAAAATACCCTGGGGTAGGGAAGTGATGGAGTGAAAACCACATATATCTTTTCAAAGCATAGGTATTTAAAATATTCTTTATAATTTTATCTTAATAGGTGTATTTTTTAGTGAATATTGAAAAAGGAACGAGATAAACCGCTTCTAGAAGAATTGACAGATGCCCATCCCTGGGCAGAGTTTTTCTGACAAATCACTACAACTGGGACCAGCAAAATGTTAAATAACTGACAAATGTCTTGGGAATGGGGGCAGGGGGTGTGCATGCTTGGAATTGACAGAGCCATTAAAAAATGATTAGAATAAATAACTTTTTCCGAGCCTGAATTTTCTTTTGAAAACAACCACAGACTGTGATTTATTATGATTTGACTTCTTTCCTATTGTTTTTAACAGGTACTTGAATGTGAATTCTTCTTGTTAGAGATGATGGACTGTTGTTTAATTGTGTACCACCCTTATCGTCCTCTCACACAGTATGTTGCAGATCTTGGAATGGAAGATGCCATTCTTCCAATCGCTTGGCGCATTTTGAATGACAGTTTGCGCACTGATGTTTCTCTTGTCTACCCTCCTTATCAAATTGCCTTGGCTGCAATTTACATGGCTTGTGTCATTCAACAGAAAGATGCTAAACAATGGTTTGCTGATTTGTCTGTTGATATGGACAAAGTACTGGAAATAACACAAGAGATTCTACAACTTTATGAACTTTGGAAAAGTTATGATGAAAGGACTGAGATTCCAGCAATACTGAGCAGGGCACCTAAACCACAAGTGCGGCCAACATCAGCAACACCGGGCCAAACACCTTCACCTATTCCTCCAGAATCTTAAGCCCATAGTCTCACAGTTGAACCTCCATTAAGCGGCCACTCTCAAAGTACTGACCAGTGGCTTCTTAATGGGGGCTGGCCACTCAATAGAGGTTTGTCATGAATTAGAAGAAACTTTAGCAGAAACATCACTTTATTTTGAAACAAAGATGCAACAGGAGTGGCATAAGAGATCACCTTCCATATCCGAATGAATTTTTCTTCATCTTTTTTTCAAATAAGGCTAAAAAAAGTGTATCAAGTGCTTGATAGCCGCTTAATAGCGGTGATAACAACAGAAAAACTCTTGTCCGGGTTGCTCAATGCTGGCTGTTGCCAGTTGATAGAGGTGGCAGCATAATAGACATTTACACATGTAATTTTCCATTCTTTTCTACAATTACTTTGGGACTTTGATTGCTGGTCACCAAATAGAGGGTGTTTGCTTAGTATCTGGCTGCTTAATGTAGGTTAAACTGTAGTTTGTTCTGGGGTCACTGAGATTCACAGAGCCTCTCTTAAATTCTGATTATCTTTGTGGGTTTTAATAGATGGTGTAGCAAGTAGCGAGGGCTGATTTCTGGTTTCAGAAGGAAATGATACAAATTATTTTATTGAAACACTTGACAGAAAAATATAACATTTTTCTATAACAGCCAGTGAGATTTCAAGAACAACAATCAGAAGCAATTCTACTGTAAACTTTTTCCTTTTTATTTTTTGTGGGGAATTTCATAGATAGAAGGAGACATAGTGAAGATGTACAGTGTAGAATATTGTATTTCATCAAATTATTTTGTAAGAAAATATTTCAGGGGCTAACAAGGAAATCATGTAATTTTTCTTTGCCTCTATTGGGTGGGTTTCAAATACAATTTCAAATACTAACTGCAGGGAGAAAAGCAAGCAGAAAGAAAATTCTCATTTTAATCATCTCTTATACACAGTTTACACCTTCACCTGTAAATAATCTTTAAATAATATTTATAGAAAGGAGTCCATTATTTTTCCAGAGCCCTTCTTGTTTATCCTGTGTGGCAGGTGTTTAAATGGTAAGGGTCAGTTAGGTCATCATACACGAGCCATAAGCCAAATCAAGGCCCATAAGAATATAAAGGACAGGCTTTGTGCTAGCGGAATCTTGAAAATTTTAACAGGGCAAGAGTACGAAAAATAACTTGGTATTTTTGAAAAAATCAGTCTTCAAATAATACAAAACAAATATAACTATGTAACCTGTAAACAAACTCTCTGGGGGGTTCTAGGGAAGGGGGAGAAAAGAGGGGACTCCAGACCCCCACCCCCATCCCCCTCCCAGAGAGTTTGTCTGCAGGCTAATAATTGTGGCAATGCAGGGATTTGTGAGGAGGCAGGACAAGACAGTATAGTAATACAAATTATTGCTGTACTTGAATGCAGAAATTGCTGCCTTTTAAAACTAAGAGGTAATTATCAAAGGCTTTCAAATTGCCACATTTTAAGGACTAGTCCACCCTGTTCAAGAAATCTTTGAAGAAAATTGAACTCAAAGGTTGTCTCAAACAGTAACTGCCAGACCTGCTAGTTAACTTGACTCAATAAAGCTTAGATTCTGCTTATGGCAATCTCAGACAAAACATAACATTAGACCTACCAAAGTTAAACCACCTATGGCTTTAAGTCACAGAGGTACAGGACAGAGAAAAATGTTAAACAGTTACCGAAAGTGACAAGTACAGTGTAGGGTTGACACTTAAACAAAAAGATTAAAATCTCTAGATTTCCTAGAATCATTCCAAATGTAAACTTTTAGATTAACTTTTCTTTCATTTTTGTACGTCTATAAGAAGGGTGGCGATTCTTTACTTCTTTTGCATTTTGACTTTAAGTGTACACAGTACTGTAATTTCTGATGACTAGTATTGTAACTAAGAGCTAATGACCATTTTGAATAACGTCTGAGTAATAAGGGTTAGTCTTTCAATACCTGGAAACTCGAAATCTTAATAACAAAACCTGGCCCTGGTTGTTCAAACGCTGGATAGCGCTATCCAATGGATAGATTGCATCCAGTGGGTAGCGTTGACCACCTTTTGAAAAACTGGGGCCTGGTGGACAACGGTAGTCTTTAAAAGCAAGAAATCCTGGTTATCTCTTGAGTACCAAATTGTGAAGTAACAAATTATGCCATTGTTTCCTTCCGAACCTGGGTGTTTATTTACTAAAGAGTGTTTCGAAGTATTTTGTTTTCGGTACAGTAGACTTTTGTCATGACAAACACATGAACTTGTACATGTAGTCTGACATGTCATTCGTCTCTTAACCCTTTCCCCCAATGGACCTTGCCACCCGTGGAGGGTGGGGTGAAGAGACGGATGACATGTCGGCCTAATGAACTTGGGTCATACAGCTGAATCTTGGTTCAAGGGGGGTGAGGAGGCGTGAGAGTTTGTATCCTAAACTCAAATCAATTTAAAAAAAACATTGCAGCTGTAGATATTGGACTTCATGTTTATTTTACATAAAAAACCTTGCAGCTTAGTACACAGATGACACCTATGTTTACTAAAACAGAGTAAATACAAAATTGTTTTATTGTTATACAATATGATACAAACATAACAATAATTTATTCTACTGGAAAAAAATGGAAGTTTAAACTAAAACGGGGACTTCTTCAAATAAACTAAAACTTAGCTATGCAAATACAAACTTGCAAGGGTTTCTAGCTTAAACAAACAAGACATACCAGAGTCATGTATCTGACCAGCCCCTCGATCAGTCAATACACATCTACTTGTGGCATCTCAGTTTGTTACTTGCCGTTCACTATGTTTAATTACCTATCATTTAATTCCCAATTAGACCCTCTCTTCTAGTAATATTTCTTTAAAAAAAAAAATTAACTGGTGATTTAAATTTCACAGAATTGGTGATCTAAATGTACTACAGTGGTTTAGATACTTTATAATTTTTTTTTAATTTTCATAATCATTTTTTCTTATACAAATAAATTTTATTGGAGAGTTATAGAGATGAATCTTAAGCGGCGGACAGCCTTACTTACGGCCGCCTTCGCGACCCTGTTTGAACTCCCGTACAAACTGTATTTTTACATTGCTATAAGCGGACATTTCCGTAGGCGTGGCCGCGGACGCTTTCAGAATTTACGAGTTAGATATTAGCTTTGTTTTAAAGCTCTCCTAAGCGGATATGGTTCATGGCGCTGTTTTCTACGTCGAACCTCGCTTCCAGGAACAGATTGCACCTTACACCTCACCAGCTGGATTCGTCTCGTGCCAATCCTTAACAGCCTTTTTCACCTTTTTCTGTTTCTCAATCTTTTCATCGTCGATAAAACGTTCTTCTTTGATAAATTTTCTAAATACCCACTCTGGCAATTTGCCACTTATCAATATAGCACCTGCTTGGAGTAATGCTGTGACTACATCCGGGAAAGCACTGTTTTCCTCGCCTAAAAACATAATAGCAGCTACTGCTAAAAACAAAACAAACGCAAATGCCAGAACACTTACAAACATTAGGCACAGTTCATCAACCAGAGGTAGTACCTTACAATCGTTGCAGACAAACCAGAACAGATCGAGGGGAATGTTATCGCCGATTTTTTTGCCACTGCCTTTGCTTTTCGGTTGCTTTGATATCATGACTTTTATATCCTTGTACCTTGACTGAATACTGCTATAACAACGGGATGTGTGGTTCATGAGCACATATAAAAAAGTTATGTAAGGTAAGGTCTCTTTTGAATTCCAAAACAGCCCGACAATTACAAACCCTGTCATTCTGGCAACAAATCGACAGCTTAAACATGCTACAATAGTCACAAATGAAGCCCAAATGAAAGCTAAAACAAATGACCAAATATCTGCACAAACAATCCGAGCATTAGAATGATCTGTTGAATCATTTTCTTGTTCGGCATGTGTATTTTTATTCCCAGCATTAGAATGATCTGTTGAATCAATTCCTTGTTCGGCATGTGTATTTTCATTTCCAGCATTAGAATGATCTGTTGAATCATTTCCTTGTTCGGCATGTGTATTTTCATTTCCAGCATTAGAATGATCTGTTGAATCATTTCCTTGTTCGGCATGTGTATTGCCATTTTCACCAGCTGCTGGACGTTTATTAGTTTCATACTGTAGATACTGTTTGCATTTTTTGAAACACCATTTACACCATTCTATGGAACATTTGTAAGTACTAGTCCAGCTGTTATCGACCAAAATTGTTCACTTTTATGATAAAAGCATGAAACTTTGCCAGATTACAACCAACCCTAAGACTAACATTTTTGGATATGGAGCCAAGCCAAATTCAACACTGGACACGAGCACTGCGCAGGCCCTAAAATGGCCTACATGAGAACGAGGCTGTTAGTGGAAATCCTTCTAAAATACCATTTTTGAGTGTTTCTGTAAATAAAAGTCGTAGATATTGTGGAAGAAGACATTTGCTTTACTGTCATGCTTTCTTTGGTGTCACGTGATCCCTCCTTCCAAATATGGCGGGCTATTGTTGGGTGTCCTGTGCTGAGGCTTTCCTCTGTACATTTGAGTGTTTAAAGGGGTGAGAAGGGGCACCTTTTCAGGCAAGTTCAAATGATAACACTCTTGCAACTGTTGTCCAATTATCAAGGGCTGTTTTTTACCATACAAATGCAAATCATTACATGAAAACGAAGCAAAAATCTTTTCAGCGGTTTGAAAAGCCTCCGGTTAGCCCTGCGTGCGTCATCTTGCGTTGGATTCATAGACCATTGACTAAAAGCCTGAATTGATCAAAAATTGTGATCGCACGGCGTTTTTGCAGAGTTTTTTTCTCCGCAGACGACAATCGAAAGTCACATGACATAGACTTTTTCCTTAAATATGCCATTTTTAAGGAATTGAGGAGCCCCCCTTTCTGATAGTTGTATCCACAAGATAGTTGTAGATGTCACTGTATCTTAAGAGTAGGTTGTACACCAGTTTTGCCAATGGTGAATCGACACCGTCCCAAAGAAGCAGTTTTTCTTTCATTTAATGAGTTCATAGCCAGACTGCCACGATATACCTCTTAGTAAAAGTTAAAACCTTTAGACTTGTATGCCTCAGAAGTGTTGTTCTCTACACATATCCCATTCATACACTGCTCGACAGGTATGTTGCATGAGCACTACTCGAGTTGAGGAAACACTATGAAGGTCACTTCATCTTCTTTTTCACTTCTTGCCTCGTTTTATTGAAGATAATGAGGGCTGGATAAACAAACGCAAGTGCAAGCCGAAAAAACCAATTCAACTAACTCTTTTCCCAAACGCTTTTGTTTGCACCTAACGCTTGTCAACCAGGAAAAAACAAGTGCAGCCTACGATCTAGCTGTCTATTTGGGGCTATCGTGAAACGTCACGTGCAAACTACACTCAAAAGGAGACGCAAGAGGGAGGGGTGTTAATCGAGAGAGCTTGCACGCAGGCTAACGCAAACGCAAGGTAAAAAATGTCTGTCCGACGTGATGGGATCTACGATAATCAAATGGGCTTGCGTATCTCACTGTGCTTGAATTTGCATTGATTACGTGAAAATCGATTGTCCTTAATCTCTCTTTCAAGAAACATATCCCACAAATTTTTCGATCACATTCATTCAGTTGGCAAATGTTGTCAGGGATCTCAACACCAATGCAAGCTTAGATCAGGACCCAACGGCCACGTGACACTGACATCATTTTCTTTGGCGTCCATACTATACGTGGATAACTAAAATAAGTAGCATCGCCTCATTGGTGGAATGGGTTCTGATTTAACTGTTGATGATCACTCAAACTAATATGAAATGTCTGGACTACGAAGTAATTGTCAGCCTGTTTCAGTTTATGCAAACAAGATGCAAGAGCGTTAACTTATGTTTGGTGGGATGTGTGCAGCACAGTTTTAAAGTATGCGGAATAAATTTCCTTAGTAAAATCTCATTTCACCATTTGAATTCTCATCTTGTTATTCATGGAAAGATTTCACTGTTTCGATTATTATTCTTCACCGATTTTAGAAGGGTGTTTCTGTTTTGCTTTGCACGTACATGGATACACAGATTCGTTACTTGGTGCACCTACCGTCATTTTGAATAAGATGACTTGTGGTTATATGAGCAATGAATGAGCCACACCCTTCTTTTCAACTCAGTTCTGTTACTGAGCTGCTGTTCATCGGGTACCGGTACACTGCCTGCTGAGTATTTTGAACAATATGAAGCTCGCGGAGTATGAGCTGAAACTAATCTTTGTAATTACACATGGCACCAAATACCCCAAGCAGCCTGTCTACAGAAATAATTGGCTCGTGGAAGAGATTAAAATGCTGTATATACGGCTGCTATAAGAACGATGATCTTAGGCTTGAGTGGGATAATAAAGCCGCCCATGTCACAAAACCCCATACGAATCTCTTCCTACGCACTGCAAATCCTTAGCATTTTAAATTTTTCATCAGTTTCCATTTTCATTGGTTTCTGATTAACTGGTCTGTTGAGGATACACTCCTAACTCCCCTTTGATGTCTGTAGTAGAAAATTCACTTGTGGGTGTAAAGTTAGCGATAGAAACCAGCTCTAATGGTTGGATGTTTGGCTATTTTTCTCTGATTTGGAACTTTTTGTCGCATAAAAGGTCAACTTCTCTGTGGCTGGATAGATGCACAAAACGTTGACATTATCAACTTTTGTGGTAGAAAAAGATAACATTTTTCTCGGCTTAAATGAGTACACGACCATGGATTTCATTTCTGTACCATTTTAAAATATTATAGTTGTTCCAATATAATTGGTTATGAGCCTTTCATATGAGGTACACTTTCCTAAATTGAAAAACATTAACCGAGAAGTCGATAATTGAATTTTAAACTTTCCCTAATTATAAGATAACGAGCGCTCTTTGGACGCAAAGTGTACCGCCTTAGTGTTGCATCACGTCTAGTACAATGACTTGAAATGCTCAAATCATACATGGTAATTTTGTGAAAATTATTCGAAAATTCTCTTTCAATCGAATGGTATTGTAGTTGCCTACAGCTCGTGTGTCTAAATTGTAATTTATCTGAGAAATTTTTCAAGCACCGCATCTTTTGCTGCTGCTGCTCCTCAACCATGGAATTCATTGCCCTACGCGATAAGGAGTAGCCCCTCAGTAGCATCTTTTAAAAAGACACTAAAGACGTTTTTATTTCAGAAAGCTGTGCTTTTATGTGCTTTTTAATCTAGTTTTTAGTAGGTTTTATGCAGTTTTTTACGATTTAAGTAGTCTAGGTAATTTTTATAGTTTTAGTGTTCACAAAATTGTTTTAACTCTTTTTGGTAGGTTCATGACTTTATGCATGTATACTTTATGCAGTCGTGGTAATTTTTTTTGAAATATTTTTATTTTTAGGCGCTGGTGAAAATAGCAATATTGATATTGGCGCGATATAAGTATTTATTATTATTATTATTATTATTACTATTATTACTATTATTATTGTTATTATTATTATTATTAAAGATTACCGTTAGAAATATGAGTAAAGTTAAGCTAATTCCTTCATCTATTTCAAGTAGCTCAGTTGTTGTTCAATTGGCTCCTGTCAATTATAAGGGAAAAGCATGCACTTTAAATATACTCTGCCTTGAGGACATACATGGCAACAACTTTGTTTTTTTTTTTGTGAAAGCACTCGACGTATTGTTAGGGAGCTGAGTTTGAAAGGCTTTATTTCTTGTCCTTAACGGGGAGAAACATGCCTATTTTTATTACATTCAGATTGATCATATTTTTTATATTTTAATGTGTTAATATAAAATTTAAAGGAATATCAATTTGGTAGCTTTAAATTGCGTATCTCAAAAATGGCCTCACAAGACTATCCTGTCATCTATTTTTTTAGACATAACAAACAGAAATATGAGGAGGCACGATCGCTTGCTACTGCACGACCTGTTCATTTTTACCTCAAAAACTGACATTTCTTAAAAATTAAGAGGAGAGAACTATTTGGGCCGGGCCACCTCCTGGATTCAGCTCTGAACCTTGTAATTGACTTTGTTAATAGTTGAAAGGAGAATAAAATAGCTTAATGCAGTATCCGAATGTGGAGGCAAGAAACTGGAGGCTAGCCAAGATCATCAAAAGGATTTTTGCCTTGTTTTTGAGCGGCGCTCTACATTTAGATGGAAAACAATAGCCAGAGTGCCATACAATCACAACTTTTAATCAGTTCAAGCTTTTATGCGATGTTATCTGAATCCACCCCCAAATGACCGCACGCAGTACTAACTGCACGCTTTTCAAACAGTTTAAAAGATTCTTGCCTTGTTTTCATGTGGTAATTGACATTTGTATGAAAACAAATCCAACCCTTGATAATTGGAAAATAGTTGCAAGAGTGTTATCATTTAAAATTGTGGGAATCGTTACCCATTCTCACCCCTTAAAACGCACAAATGCACAGAAGACAGCTCCAGCACAGGACACCCAACAACGACTTCGCCATATTTGGAAGAAAGGGTCACGTGACACCAAAGATAACATGACAGCAAAGCAAATGTCTTCTTCCACGATCTCTACAAGTTTTATTTACCAAAACACTTAAAAACCGGTATTTTTGAAGCATTTCCACTGTCAGCCTCGTTTCCATGTAGGCCATTTTAGGGCCTGCGCAGTACTCGTGTTCAGTGTTGAATTTGGCTTGGCTCCATATCCAGAAATGTTAGTCTTAGGGTTGGTTTTAATCTGGCAAAGTTTCATGCTTTTATCATAAAAGTGAACAATTCGCTATATTTTTGGTCGATAACAGCTGGACTATACAGCTTAAACAAGGTCTTTTCTCCAGCAGTCTCTCCGAGGGATCAAATGTGTTAAGTTCTCGAATAACATGCCATGCAAGCAAAAAAAGGCGCCAGAATGGTGAATACCAGAATAGAATTATCCCCTGCGTCAGCGCGAAACAAACCACATTATTTGCGATCAAAAATCCCAAACCTACACACCAAAATACTATAAACCACGCACTTAATATAATAGAACAAAACAGCCCACATATACGAAAAACAAAATCCATTTCACCCCGAATACTAAACAAAATTCAAGGCAGAAAATGTACTCAGATTTCCTATATTTTTTGCAACTTAAGCATTTTTTAAGTTTACCTGCGAGAATTCGAAAGTAGCGGACAGAAGGCACTGAAGCCAATGCTGAGCATTTAGAATTATCTGTTTTCTTGAACAATGCCATAACACAGCCGCCGGTAAATAAAGGCTTTGCCACAGAAACCATCTGACGGGGTGCAGACCGNTACAGCTTAAACAAGGTCTTTTCTCCAGCAGTCTCTCCGAGGGATCAAATGTGTTAAGTTCTCGAATAACATGCCATGCAAGCAAAAAAAGGCGCCAGAATGGTGAATACCAGAATAGAATTATCCCCTGCGTCAGCGCGAAACAAACCACATTATTTGCGATCAAAAATCCCAAACCTACACACCAAAATACTATAAACCACGCACTTAATATAATAGAACAAAACAGCCCACATACGAAAAACAAAATCCATTTCACCCCGAATACTAAACAAAATTCAAGACAGAAAATGTACTCGGATTTCCTATATTTTTTGCAACTTAAGCATTTTTTAAGTTTACCTGCGAGAATTCGAAAGTAGCGGACAGAAGGCACTGAAGCCAATGCTGAGCATTTAGAATTATCTGTTTTCTTGAACAATGCCATAACACAGCCGCCGGTAAATAAAGGCTTTGCCACAGAAACCATCTGACGGGGTGCAGACCGTAGATGTTCACGTATGTCTGTTCGAAGATAGAAAGGGTTCTTTCCACATTCTGTACACGAATCTTGAAGATCGCAAGGTTTGATGTAAAATATCAGGATGAGGGGTAAAACAATCAAGAACAGTCCAACTGGAATGATTATTATAGGATTTAAATCAAAGTACACCGTGGTTATACTGAACCATTCGGATAACTGACCTTCAACACGAGCACCTGGTAAATTAATCGCCCTCCTCAAGTCATGATCTTTATATAGCATACTAAAAAACAATTTATAGTAATAAATTATAAAAAGTAATATGTAATAAAGAAAAAGCAGCTTTGAGTAGTCAGAACAAAAAACTGAAGACTTTTCTGTACAATGGCGCATCAGACGCCTAATCGTTATTGGGCTTACATCATCCACCGGAATCTGACATCTGATGACATCACTTTGATCAGATGTTGAAGGGGTACTTGTTTCACCACGAGTCACCTTTTGGCTCTCTCGTTTAGAGTCATTGGTTTTCTGACCCAAATCAGGTGGTGGTTGGGGAGGGAGAGCTTCAAACTTTTCGCACCAGATTATTCTGTTTAAACACTTCTTAAAACATGAAACATTTCCTTCGATGCAGGGTTCTTGGCCAAAAGTTCCATAGGATCCTTCCGTCTCACTCATAGATATTAAAACATATGATTCTTCTAGCCCCACCCTGTGATGCTTATCTTCTTTGCCTGTCTTTTCGCGAGCCTTTTCTGCGTCTTCTTTATCCTCAAAAGTGAAAAGGAAATCAGGCAAGACAAGAATAATGGCCGGCCAGAAGAATAACATTGGAATCGTTGTATAGTTCATCAGGTGATAAAAGAAATGAAGCCAGTCACTGACTTTGACATGGAGACCGCACTCCACTGAGGTTTCGTTTGCTACTCTCTTTGTACTGTTACTGCAGCAACGATAGACGAGATTTCCGTCAAAAAGCTTACTCCATTCATTGTCGTGCTCGTCAAGAACGATGTTACAAACAACAAAGGGCTTTTGTACGGTCGCCCTTTTTTGCGACTTCACCTTAAGAAAATAGTCGTTTGTGACGTCCATCAGAAGTGCTCTAGCAATCACGCGGTCCTGACAAGGAAGGCTGAGATTAGAGAGACAACCCGTGGGTTGATCCAAAAGCCAAACTCGCATCATTCTTACTTGGAAATGATGTAGAAGACCCCACGACAGGATATCTAATCATATGAAAAAGAAAGCATCGGTTCCTGTATATCCCGGGCCCATGCCCATCTTGCCGGGCGAAGCTTGTTACTTGGGTTTGTCGGTCTGTATGTGTTGTTGTTAACTTTCACATACAAGTAGAACAGTCTCACACCACGTTCTGAGGCCGTCGTAGAAAATGTTGTCGATAGGTCGTTTGTTTGGGGAACTAGCCTGCACTGCGTCTTTTCGCAGGAGGAGTCTGAATTGGCGACAGTAGTTCGATGAGAACACAAGATCAGGGCGAGAAGAATTTTCAAAAGCATTTTCATGGGGTAAGCGACTCCAGCGATAAAGGGATTGTGGCATCGATGTATCTCAGACGCTATATGATACCATTAAGGAAGTAATTTTGTCAGTTTTGTCTAATGCAATTGACCTCTCTTTAGCTTGTGTACACACGCCCCCTCCCCTCCCTCCTCTATTTTGTTTCTGTTTTCAGTTGTTTTTAAATTCACCCATCCACTTGTCCGCTACACAGCCGTTTTCAGTGTAGTCACGCAACGCTCCTCCCCACTAGTGGGGAGGAGCGTTGCGTAACGACACCAAAAACGGCTGTGTAGCAGACTACCCATCCACACGGAAAGCGCTTAAACGATAAAAATTTGATGGCGCCATTAACGTGGCATGCGCTGTAATGATGTATGACATCCGGGGGCGTAGCCAGCCTATAGGGTAGTGTTGGAGCTGCTCGTAAGGTTTCTCCTAATTGGTCTTAGGAAACAATGACATGTCATTGCGTCATGCGTGCATTTTCAGGATATGTGGAAATAAAAGGTATCTAGGCCAACAACTAGCCGAAAAGCTGGTTACTGACCCCTGATAACATCATTGTATTCAAAAACCTCCGTTTTTATCCGTTCACGCAAATTACCTAGTGACAAAGTAAGATGGACTTCATCACGTGTGGAAGACACGTGCACTATATTTACTTATTATTCTTTCTTACAGCTTACTTATTTCTTATTACAAGTCTATAAGAGGTATTTTTTTAATAAAACAAGAAGAAATCGTTTTGTAATTTGGAAGTGCCTGAAATACTGCAATCCTGGAGGCGTACACCTTGACCAGACCATAGTTAGTAGTATGTTCTGACCAAACAAATGTCATTTTCCACACCCGTTTTCAAACCTGGACTCTAAGAAATTACGTCAACATAATACTCACATTAAAATCCAACAAAGGAAGGCTGATTTTACGGTTGGGAATACATATTTAGTTGTTACTACTGAATATTCGGAACGAACGGCCTTCCTTCTTCAGAGTCTTACATACAATGACTAGGTTAAGCTAAGACGTTTCAAAATTAAAGGATAGCGTGCAGTATGCGCAGTATGATACTAATTAACATGTAAAAATTTTATAATAAGAAAAAAGTGAACCTTGAAAGTATTGGAAAACAAAAACCGTTGAAGTCGCGGTCCGATAAATCACAGAATTTTGTATGGAATAACTAAACAAACAACAGCAGTGTGTGTCATGCATGCGTCAAAGGAAAGATTAGAAATTTAGCCGGAAAAGGAGAGATTTACATGCATGGGTCCTTTGTATTTAGCTACAACCAGTTGCAAATATACTTGAGACACTGTACCTTATTTTGGCTTTACTGACCTGCTTATGATCTTGTGCTTGTAATCCTCCTCCTCCCCTTATCAAAGTTGCAATACAGTGGAATCCCGCCTTACGGCCACCTCGGTAATACCGTCACCTCGTTATTTAACGGCCACTTTTTTTCGGCCCGGCAAAACGGCCATTAATGCAGCCACCGGCCAACAGCCACATTTTAAAATCCCAAACAGTAGATTCTCTTATAATTTCATCCCGTTAATACGGCCACTTGTTAGAAATTTAGAAAAATGGAATGCCTGTGACATGTCAATTTTATTGACCAAATACTCTGGGATGGTTCTTGCACTGTTTTTAGACTTCAGTACACATATTAAAAGTGCACTTGTTGCTATTTTATAGCCGAAAGTGTTTTATGTACTGAAGGGAAATTTTAAGTAGTTTTTTTTGTTGTTTTCAATCTGACGGTACCCGATATCTACATTCCAGTTGTTTGGTAATCATGAGAACAGCAACCTAGTTCCCAGGGTTCTCTCCTACCCGCCCTACGGAGCGAGAGGGAGAGAGATCCTGGAAAACGCTGGTCACGTGTCTCCCAGAATCTGGGAGACTACAAACAAACGATTTGGGGGAGGGGCAGGTAAGTGTGATATTTGTCTCTACAGAGCGTAGACAG